TTTGTTTTAGTTCTACAGATTATATAAACCAAATTGGTGTGTTTATAAAACCAGTATTTCTGCTGTGGAAAAAACTGCATAAGCAAAGAGATGCATGTAGAGACAGCAGTGTTGCAGATGATTTTAGCAGTTAGATCTTTTGGGCTTCCAAAAGCCCAAACCATGGTTTAAAAATAATTGTCCTCGAATGAACATGTTAATTTTGAAAACCTGTACTTTGAAACTAAGTGTTCATTCTTCGTAATAAGGTATCTGTGTTTTTCACCTATTGTTCCATTCTAGTGATATTTCCATTTGTCATTGTATGGATTTGTGCGATATTGGTAAAAGGTGTTGTTAATGGAAGCTGGATCAGTCATCCCATTCATTGCTCATTCTCTGCCAATTCTAGATCTTGTCTGAATGTCAGTTATTGCCAATCTTCTTCAGTGAATTTATGAAGTAGTTTTTTAATTGATCCATAGAATCTTAATTCCTAAGGGGGCAATCACAGACTTTTCGAATTAGAAGAAAGGGAACAAGCATTTATTTAGCACCTACTGTTTTCGAGGCAGTGTGCAATACACTTATTTCACAAATATTATCACAGTTACTCCTCACAATAGACTTGCCCAACTTGGCAGTAGGTAGGGGCCAAAATTAAAACAGGCTAAACTCCTTCAGGCCACAAATAGGTTTGTAGCAGCTCACTTTCCAAGTAAAGTTATAATTAATGATTAAACTATTTTGCAAATCAACCATATTTTATAAAAAGGAAATTTCAATTAATATCAATTAATTACACTTATTACTTAAGATTTTTATTCATCATGAAATCACTCCTCTCAGACTAGAGACAGACTGGCAATGGTTGGTTGCCGTGGGTCGTGTAACAAACAGGAGAGAGTGTATGCAGTGGCAACCCACCCGCCAAAGTACATGATGGCCACAGTAGTGACTAGTGCAAGGTGGGGTAAGCGGGGCAGCACTTGTTATATCTTTTCTTTCTCTTGCATCCTCTGCATTTTTTTTTGCAGGCCACATGTCATACAGGCTTGCCTTACAATAACCCTTGGGGATAGGTTATGTTATTTCCCTCATTTTACAATTGAGAAAATTGCAGCAAACTGAAGTTAAGTGACTTGCCTGGGGTCACACAGCTATTATATCTATGAGGCTGGATTTGAACTCGAGTCTTCCGGACACCAGGTCCAACACAGTGTCCATTGCCTCAGGAAGGGATTCCAGGAGCCATCTAGGCCAGCCTTTACCTGCAAAGGAGTCCCCCACTACTGTCTACCTGAGGTATCATCCAGTCAGTCTTTGCTTTCAGACCTCCAGGGAAGGGGAACTTGTTACCTCTTGAAACAGCCAGTTCTTTGTGTAATTCTTATGGTTGGGAATTTGCTTCTGACATCAAGCTTACGTTTGTCTCTTAGCAGTTTCTACCCACTACTCCGGCTTTGCCCTCTGGAGTCAGACCACGTCTCATCTCTTTTTCATATGAGAGCTCTTTAGAGACCTGAAGACAGTTATCATGTATACCCTGCCCTTTATTTTGTATACCCTGTCTTTATTTTGCTCAGGTTAAAGATCCACACCTGCTTTCTCTTACCTTCATATGATATGGACTCAGGGCCCTTCTTCCTGTTTTCCTTTCCTCAAAGTTTGTCATGCTATCAGTATTCTTCCTAAATTGTTGCTTCCAGAGCAGAGCTTGCTACTCTCAATGTGACTGGCCAGGGTAGAAAATACAATAACTTTATTATATATTTAAAAGGAAATAGTAAGTTGTATGCAATAGATTTGCAGTTTCATGTTCAATCATCTTTTTTTTTAATTATGCTATGTTATAGAAATGCTTGCTTTATTCCATAAATTTTAAAAAAATAAAATTTAAATTTAAAAAAAAGTATATAGGGAGACTATTCTACTTATTCCTGGAAATAGCCTCTCTTAATAAAGTCCCAAATCACATTAGTTATTTGGACTGCTAATTCACAGTGAATTCACAGTCCTCTAGGACCCCTCTAGATATTTTTCTGACACACTGATGTCTAATCACTTGTCCCCCATCCTGCACTTATGAAAGTGATTTTTTGAAACCAAGAGTAAGACTTTTTACCTTTATTCTGATTGAATTTCATCTTATTAGAGTCAGCTGGGTGCTCTAAGTTGTCAATCATTTTGAATCCCAACAACTGGTATCTAGTGTGTTAGGAATCTCCCGCAGCTGTGCACACCCTATAAATGTTATAGTGTGCTCCCTATGTCTTTATCCAAGTCATTAAAAAAGGATGAAACAGCTCAGGACCAAGTGCAGATCTGAGATGCTCTGCTGAAGGATTCTTGGAAAGTTGACCCTAAAATACCCTTTGAGTCCAGCCATTTGTCTTTTCAGGTTTTGTCTGTTAACATCTAGTTCACAACTTTACATATTCTGTTCATGATAGTATGAGATACTTTATCAAATGCTTTATGAAATTTAGGCAAGATATATCCATAGAAATTCTTCCTCCCTTTCTTCTCCCTCCTCTCTCCTTTTCCCATTTCTTTCCCTTATCTCTTCCGAACTTCTCCTTCATCCTTATCTCTTCCGAACTTCTCCTTCATCTTCTCCTTTTCCTTCCTTCCCTTTCCTCCTCCTTCTTCCTTCTCCTTTTCTTCACCCCTTTGCCTAACTTTTCCCTTCACTTTCCTTTGCTTCCCTTCCCTTCCCTTCCCGTCCCCCTTCCCTTCCCTTTCACATCTAATGTTTTAAAGCATTAATTTCTTTCTAGTATTGATTACAATTATATAAATATTAAATGACAGCAGTGATATTATTTGTATAAATTATTGACTCACAACAAGAAATTTATTTTATCTAGTGGTGTTAGTTGATTTATATCTCTCGATTGATAATCACATATGAAATACATTTCCCCACGGGAAAAAATACCAATAAATTGAATTCAGTAATTATTTAGGGGCAATTAAAATACTAGCTAGTCCTATGGCATGTGCAGAATGTTTTACTAGCAGGGTAGTATCCCCACTGTAGAGTTAGGTTCCCACTTTTCTTTTGCAACACTTTTCTTCATGCAGTATCTTTCCTGTGTCATTATCCTATCCACCTTCTCCTGGACCCTGTGTTCTGTTTTCTTTTTTCTCTACTCACTGCACACTCATAATAGGAGAATGAGCAATGTGCCCATATACAGGTAGTCACCAACCACTCCAGCATTTTTCGGAGAATTTAAATGACCTTGCTCAAGATACTATATGTCAGAATTGAAACCTGAATCCGAGTCTGCTGGCTGCAAAGACCAAACGCTGATTACTACCAGTGTGACCTTGGAGAGTAAAGCATTTAGGTTCTGTGCCCCACTCACAGTTAAATGGTTGAAAGTTAAAAGTGAAGAACAGTTTTGACAAAAGAAAACTGGTCCGAAGTAAAGTTTTATTTGAATTTGAAATTATGTATAATAATGAACAATTAATGGGAGGGGCAACGTGGTTTATTGGTTCAAGAGCTAGGCTCATACTGGTGCTACATGAACCTGAGAGCAAGTGACATTTCTCAGTTCCTTCAAGTGATTCCCTAAGATTTTAAATTACAGGGGCAGCGAGGTGGCGCAGTGGATAGAGCACCAGTCCTGAAGTCAGGAGGACCTGAGTTCAAATCCGGCCTCAGACCAAACACTTGACACTTACTAGCTGTGTGACCTTGCTTAAGCCACATAATGCCAATTGCCTAAAAAAAATTTTTTTAAATTATAGAACAATTTGCTGTCTTGTGTTGGTAAAAGGAATTTTCTTAAGGGGAATTCCCAACAACAGCTGTTCCCAAAATGTGGTCTTCAGACCTTTAGGGCATTGTTGTCAAAATCAAAGAGAAATGGATCCCATATTGACTTAGAAGACCACAAATTAACAATCTCCATATTGTACTGTATTTCTATTTCTTTTGTTAAGCATTTCAAATTACATTTTAATCTGCTTTGTTCCCCTTCTGCCCATCCTGGCAGTTTGACACTTCTGCCCTAGAGGATTCCCCAGACTTTTTCAGGGTGTCTATGAGGTCGAAATTATTTTCATAATAATACTAAGAAGTTATTTGCCTATTAAAGTACTTCTTCCTTTTCTAATTATATACCTACATGAGACCAGATTTTCTTCATATATTTCAACCAAAACAACATCACAATAAATTGAATGCAGAAACAGATATATATGATAACCCAACTGTATTCTGTTAAGCCAGATGTTAAAAGAATTGCAAAAAACACATAAAACAATGACACTTTTTTCACTAGCTTTTGAAAAAAATCATTATTTTTCATAAAAATGTTATGTTGACACATAAGAGATTTATTATAGTTTTTTTAATTCATTATTCAGTAGGTATTTATTGAGCACCTACTATGTGTAAGGGCACTGTGAAAAATATAGATTTGCCACAAGATTATTTCTCCTTCCAAGACCTTACATTCTGTTTTGAAAAAATTAATTAATTTTTAGTTTTCAGCCATCACTTCCATAAGCTTTTGAGTTTTCAATTTTAACCCCCTCCTTCTCTGTATTATCATTATTTTTAAATGAACAAATAAACACTTTACCATTTTATCAGTTTCCATTTCTAATATGATGAATATTGATAGATATAATGCTTTTTGGGGTCCTCAATTATTAAGCATGTGAAGAAGGCCTGAGACTAAAAAGCTTGAGAACCACTGCCTTAAATCAGTGAAATCACAGGTCTGATCCCCCCAAAATAAACAGGGTAGACCATGATTTACCATAGTAGGAGCCAATTAATACATAATTCTTTTGCCCCACCAAATATTTACCAATTATTATGAATGGATCGTATGCATATATATATATATATATATGTAAACTGTTTTATTTAGATTTCATTTTTATTCTATTTCTTTCGTATTATTTTTCCCTTCTTTTGTTTTCTTACTGTCTTTTCTCTTTTTTTTTTCTTTATGTTGGAAATCTCTCTTCTGTCGCTTTCCTATGTCAATTAAAAGACCAACTCCACCTAAACGGTAACTGTTTGGAATCTGTGTAGGTATTTTAAGCCACCAAGCCTTTGTACTTTCTTAACATTTTAAATTCCAGACCTCACCTTTCTTCTTTTTTTTCCCCTCCACTTGAATAGACCACCAAGGAAGCACATTATCGAACGTAATACAGAGTTTTACCACATACCCACTCATAGTGATGCAAGTAAAAAGCGATTGATTGAGGATACTGAAGACTGGCACCCAAGGACAGGAACCACACAGTCCCGTTCTTTCCGGATCCTGGCTCAGATCACTGGCACTGAACACCGTAAGTTGCCTTTTTGTTAAAAGAATAAACTTAGTCAGGGTGCAGCCTGCCCTGTAAAGAGAAATTGCCCCAGAAAGCCAGGTGTGGCAGTTAATAGAATGTTGAACTTGAGTGTGATTTTTACATCTAAAATTCATTAGATTTGTGACCCTGGGTAAGTCATTATTTAACTCTTTGAGCCCGAGTTTTCTCATCTGTGAAAGAAAAGTACTTTGCAAACCTAAAAGTATTATATAAGTGTGAGTTATTACAGGACCTTGAAGTATTATATAAGTGTGAGTTATTACAAGAGAGAGTAATATGTGGTAAGGCTAAAAAAAAAATAGAAATATTTCCTGGAACAATTTACTTTGAAATCATTTTTAGCACTCGATCAATTTGAATTACAATGGCAATAAATGGTGACGTTTGGAAACATTTACTTGTAGTCAGTTGTTTGCAGTACAGAATTTGAAATGGCTTTGCCAAACTTAAATGCTTACTAATAAGAAGCAGGGTTTCGAATGTTTTGAAAACATTAAAAAGTAATATAAAATACTGCTTATTTCTGTTTTCAGTGAAAGAATCAGACAGTGATAATACAAAGAAGACAAAGTAAGTTAATTTAAGATTGAATGCTTTCCCCTTGTGTATGCTCTGAACGTTTTCTAAATTTGAAAATGTAATATGGCACTTTGGTCTATGTTGTATTGAAAGTCTGAAACTCAGTTCTGGTGCATTTCATATCACTCTGAAGGTCATTCTTGAAATTGTTTTAATGAGCATGTAAATCATGGGTGTATATGTTGAGTTTCGTTTTCCTTAATCCTGAACTCAGGTTTGTGTGGTGTGTGTGTGTGCTGTTGTGGGGCTTTCTTATTTTAACAGCTGGCCAAGAATGAGACTGGGCTGTTTTTTGCCACTTTATAGTCACTTTATTTTAGGCACAGATGTGGACATTATCCACTTAGATCCTGCTTGAATCCAAAATGAGCATTTCATCCCTGAAGCATTTTGATGTTCACAGTATTAGCATGGACTATAAGGAACCTGGAAGGATAATGCTTTGGAGGGTTGTCATTGTTTAGTGCATGCTTTCTGCATGCTTCATATCTGTCGAATTAAAAGCTCAGAATCTTCTTCCCTTTCTGTTTCTTATGATTTTCCTATCACCTTTTTTTTTTCCACAGGGAAAAGGTACCCCTTCACATCTTTAGTCCCAAATACACAAAGTTACGTGACTGGCACCATGAAGTTTCAGCACGTGCCCTTAACGTACAGTGATTTGCCAGAATTGTTCCCCACCAAAAAACAAAACTTCAACATACTTTTACTTCTTCTGGTTTTTTTCTCAAATGCTTTGCAAAATCTGTATTTAATTTGCTACATTAAGATCAACTCTATCTTTTTCTACACTTTTCTAACAGCTTCTACTGATGTATAAAGAATGAGAGGAACATGGTTTGTGCTTAATCAGTAATTAAGAAATGTTCAGTATAAAGACAGCAAACTGAAGGGCTCAATGTTTCTCCGTGCATTTGCATTTCCATCATTATTATTAATGACCATGTCCTACCAAGAAAGGTTCCTTTTGTGGTTAAGCTTGATTATCTGTAGGTTGTTAAAAAGCAGAGGATGATGAGCAAATGAGCATTCTTGGATCTTTTGAAAAACATGCATGTTCTGCACGTGGCAGAACTTCCTCTTAAAGTTCTGTAGAAACTCAGCAAGAATATTCAGTGTGCATAATAAATGAGCAGAAATGGGGGGGGGGGTGAGATAGGAAAGGAGATTTCCCTAGAGAACACACATCTGTCCACACTCCATCACAGTAAACATTTGGTAGCTGCAGGATACCTTTTTTAAAAAGGCACTACTGGAGGTTTGTCGATGGAATGGGATGACCTCAGAGGTGGCCAAGGAAAAGGGAATGGTGGATCGTTGCTTAAAGGAGATAGCCCAGGGTGCTGTCGTACTTACCCTTCACTTAAGCAGTTGCCATGAGAAAATGCAGTAGCTTTTAAAAAAATTCTTCAGATAAAAATTCAATTTTCTACCAAAAGGAATTTTTTTACTTAGTCTACAGCGCAGACCATCTGTAGCATTTCAACAGGTTTCCAAATCTCTAAACTAAAAGTAGAATATGGAGAAGATTGTATATGTGTGTTTGTGTGTCTACATATGTGTGTGTATATACATACATATGCATATGTGTATATATACATTATACACACATAAAATGAATATATTATATACTATTCTGTTACCACATAGCATATATTATATTACTGTGTCATAATTTGAAGAAGACATTTGAACATAATACATCATATGACAACTTTGAGGTGATATTTATTACTTATGATTGGCTATTTGTAGGAAACGATTTTCAGAGTATTTATAGATGCTATTTAGCTTATGATACTGCTTTTCTTGTAATATAATGTATTATAATAGATTTTAATTCAGTGACATGCTTTTTGAAGTTTGAAAAGTGTTCAAAAATAAAGTTGCTTTTAACTTAGATTTCTTCTTGTTCCATTTCTTTGAGGACTTTTATTGATGCTTTTGAATTTGTCATTTTAGGTAAAATAGACATGAGACACAAATGCCTAATAAAAGATACCAGAGCTATCTGCTATTTTTTTTAAAGAATAGTATAAATAAAATGATAATAGCCTATTTTCCCCTCCTTCCATCCTAATCTGATTTTCTGTCCTTGTCTGTACTTTTAGAAAATTTGGTTTGCTGTTATTTTTATGTAGTTTCAGTCAAAGGATAGGCTTTTATTCCTGCTTTGTTTGCTTTGCATCATTTAATCTCATTTTATTTAATCTTAACTAATTTATTTTATTATTTAATTAATTTATTTATTTAATGCATTATTTAATTTCATTTTTCTTTGTAGTCTTCATATGTGTCATTTTTGTAATGTAAAAGTATTTTGTTACTTTAACATACTCAGCCATTCCCCAATCACTGAGCATATTAAGTTGTTATTGTTTTTTTATACTAATGCAATGGTGACTATTTCTGTATAGAAAGATCTTGTTTCCCCCAACTAACATCTCTGTTATGTTATGCCAGTACTAGTGATTGTCCCAGCTCTTCTACTTACTGCCTGGGTGACCCTAGAGAGCTCATTTAATGCTTTGGTCTTCAGTTTCTTCATCTATAAAATGAAAGTGTTGGCCTAAATGTTTGCTGTCCAAGGTCCCTTAAAACTCTACACGCTATGATCCTGTATAGATCAAAGGATATGCTTCATATTGTAATTCTCAGTTATTGCCAGATTGTTCTCCAAAAAAAGAAGTTGTATATTTAAAAATTGCCAGCAAGAACAGCAGCCTCGCAATAGGAAAATCCTTGCCACAAAACCAGGGCAGCAAATGGCCCGCTATTTGTAGTCTTATGTGTTGCCTGGGATGCACTGTATGTGTCCAAGACAAGATTTGACTGTGTCTGGCTGATACTTCACCTGCTGCTAGTGCTTAAATGCTATTCCTAGTTTATGGCACTCAAGAACTTTCTTTGATGGGGAGGCAGTCGGGGTTGGTTGACTTGCCTTGGGTTATACAGATAGTTTGAGGTCAGATTTGAACTCAGGTCCTCCTGATTCCAGGCCCCCAGCTTCTCTCCCTCCCCACCCCCCAAAAAAAAAACTTTCTAAGATTATTTTTAGAGGAAACAAATATGCCCTTTCTTAATGTAGTAAGCAAGGGTTGGCAGAAAGATTTCTCCCCCAGTGCTTTAGTTATTTAAAATCTTGTAGATGTTATACTCACATCAAGTTCGAATCTGTACACTTTTGTTTTAATACCACATTTAAGGCACTGTGCCAGACGCAGGGTATAATACGTAAAGATAAAATATAAGTGTCTCCACCCTCAGGTGGAGGGAGGGGAGGAGAATCAGCATGTAAACAGCTAAGGATTTACATGGTTATTTGATAAGAGAATGAGCAATTAAAACTGGGGAGTCTAGAAAAAGCTGAATCATCTTGCCCTTATGTAAATGAAAAAAAAAAAACACCAAAAGGAAAAGCTGTGTAATTTGGGGGTTGTTGAATAAAAATCATCTTAATACACATAATACAGGAAATCCTTACTTTTCATCTCAGTGTTTTCCTAGGAATTGCATCATAAATCACATTTTGTTAAATGATGTTTTCAGATAATAAGGGCATTAGAATAACATTTCTGTTCCTGATTGAGTATTCACCAGCAAATATGTTGTAGATATCAAAGCAATAGTCATAAAACCAGTGATACAATAAAAAATGTTTTGGGGCCTAATCTGTGATTTCCTGGGTTTAGAAAATTCCCAGTGTGGAAAGTGCTTCCACCAATGTCAAGAACTTATCTAGAATTCTCAGTCTTACAGTTGGAGAGTTGCCTGTGTAAATGAGAGGTTAAATAACTTCTCCATGGTCACACAGCTGATATATGGCAGAGACAGCCCTTCAACCCAGAGGTCCTGTCTTCAAGGCCGGCTTTCCATGTAGTATTCATGTGTATAATGATTTAACTTAGGAAAATCACACTCCAAGTCTTAACATTTTTCAAAATGGAAGAAACTTTGGAATTAGGTAGACCAGTTCTCCCATTTTGCAAGTAAAGACATTGAAATTCCTTAACTTCTTTTTGTCTTAGTTTTAAGAATTCATTAAGGGGTTGATTCCTGACCTTTTCATTCTAAAACTATATTTGGCTTTAGGTTTTGGAGAGCAAATCTCCTTTTTTTTTTTTGGCTAGGCAATGGGGTTAAGTGACTTGCTCAGGGTCACACAGCTAGTAAGTATCAAGTGTTTGGTCTAAGGCTGAATTTAAACTCAGGTCCTCCTGACTTCAGGGCTGGTGCTCTATCCACTGCGCCGCCTAGCTGCCCCAGCAAGTGTCTCTCGAATCATATCCTCTTGTTCCTTTTTTCTTTGATCCCAGTTACCATGAAGAAAAATTTTGAAGAAGAAAGTACATTGCACAGAGATGAAGCGTAAGTGTGGATCTATAACACAGAAGGAAGGCAATTGATAAAGATAGGAAATGGGGCAATTTCATGCAGATTTTAGTCTTAAGGCCTTTTTAACAAGGACCATTTTCTTGCCCTTCCTAATTCAGCAAAAACATTTTCAGAAACCAGGGCATTAATGTATCAAATCATAATTAAGTAAAATATAAATGTGATGAGGTTATCATATATATATGAAGTATTGGGAAAAAATGCCTTGTACCTTTCACCACATAGAAACACATACTAAATAATTGTTCGTGGTATTTGTTTTTAAAATATTGTTGTATGGTGTTTCTGGAGTGTAAAATGCAATACACTATTCAGTCCCTCCAGAAGTTTTATTTCAGTTACATGAACCATTTTTGTTTTAAGTCAAAAATTTTACTTGCTACTAATGTACAACATACCCTTGTCTTGTTCACAATTTTAGGTAAGATAGAGCATGTTCTCAGAGGCTTTTTGTGGGACAGGAAGTAGGAGCATTTTATTGTCAGATCTGCCATTGGCATTTACTCAATTTTAAGGATATGTATTGAATTTACATTTTCTTTACTGCAAGAAAAACTTCAGTATTTTTCGTGTCAGTTTCTATCATTCTTAATTTA